TTGGTAAAGATTGAGGGAAGCAAAGCAGTCTAAACATATATCTGGTTCTACAGCTGTTTCTAAGGTTCCTGAGTTAAGAGATAAGTTGGTGCCAGTTGAGGGCAGGTCTTGGTGAATTTTGTCTCTAATAGTTAGAATTTTATCATTAAAGAAGCTCATGAAGTCGTAACTACTGAGAGCTATGGGAATACTTGGCTCAATAGAGCTGTGACTCTCTGTCAGCCTGGCTACAGTGCTGAAAAGAAACCTGGGGTTGTTCCTATTTTCTTCTATTAATGACGAGTAGTACGCTGCTCAGCTCTAACTAATTTGATGGAGATTTAGAGTCTAAAGACTCAAGAAACTGAAGATGAAATATGGGAAGCAAAATATTTGACAGCAAGATAGACACAGTTGGAATTTGTCAGAAAGGGTTACAGTTTAAGCACTTAATTCTGAGCACTTTACATCGTTTCTTTTTGTTTTTGTATTACATTGGTTTAGGAGACTGAAATTAGGTGTTGAGCTGGGAAAGTATTTCAACAAATAACTCTACCCATATACTAGAATTTGAAACAGTGCTGGTAATCTTTTGGTCCATAGTACAGCCACGATTTATCAGTGTATTTTATTATGAACTTGACATTAATGAAAATGTAATGTGTACAATGTAATAAAACATAGGTTTCAAGGCGTTTCAAAGGAGTAAAAGTAGCATTTTATCAACGCTGTTTAAAAGTGTAAGATATACAGTATTTGGTGTCAGGGTAATTGTGAGGGGGGCACATACTGTATTTTAGTCATGTCTTGTTTTTCTTAACATTTACTTATAAAGAACAAAAATACTCCTATAATGAATTCAGTCATTTGCACTTGAGGTTGTATACTGGTAAAAATGACATTTTCTTTAAATAATCTGTTTCATTTAAAATACAAATGGACAGAGATAAAGAGAACAAAAAATCATACAAATGTTTGATTGTTGTAAATATTATCCACTTGACATTTTGTAATACACTGTCTTCTCACATTAACATTATAGTGAAAGCAGTGGTTATAGTAGCTAGCAACTGTTGTGCAAAAAGGTTATCACATGCTCTTTCTTTTTCTGAGTAAGTTACTGTATTGTTTGATTTGACAGATTCATGTGAAGACAAGATGGGCACCACATGGATCATATCAGTTGTCCTGATTCTAATGGGTAAGCTGAGTGATTTTAAACCTGTTCCCTCTTTCTACAAAATATTAGAAAAGGTGTGGGTATAACAACAACAATAGCTAGTCTGTCCCCCGCACCCGAGGTTGCGTGTTTGTCTCTGAATCGTTCAGTACAACCTTGGACCGGTTACATGAACTGAAGTTGAACCAAAGGGAGAGTTAATAGATGCGTTTGATTTCATGCAGCGCTGCGCAGCACTGACTTAACGTGATGCATGCTGGACTTAAGGCATGCTTGTTAGAAATTGTGTCTTACTTTCGCCAGTGCTGCAAAACGTCACCACGTCATGACATTAAAACCTCACAGGAACAAGGCGGCTGCAGGCTACAAGTCCGGCGGCCGCAGTTGCTTTTCTCTGGCTGCACAAAGTTGGAACCACACAATTGCTTGGTCAGTCATTGATCTCAGCTCACAGTAAGCTCATACAGGTAAAATGTGTCCGACTTCACGGCGCCGGCATTTATGCCCCACCCCTGCAGTCACCAGCAGCTCACATTAGAAATACTCTGTTTAATTTAGGCAGATGAGCTTGTTTTGATTAATTTAGAAGAAATCCACAGATGCAAAAAAAAAACAAACACCATCTAAATATATATTTTGAAGTTTTCTTTCCATTAGAGTAAAGAAAGAAAAATACGGGCAGACTGATCAGGGCTCCAAAACTCAGTAAAGGACTGGCAAGCAGCGTCCTTGCAATTGGGCTGAGATCTGAGTACAAGCAAAAAACACAGGCAGTCAGTACAGTCAAAAAGCTGGATCAAAAACTCCTACAATCTAGAAAATAGATTGGTACCACTGATTACCACTGTGGGTTAAATTGACGATCTGGTGCTAACGGGAAGTTGAGCTGTAGCTTTATTGAAGAGGTTGATAAAAGGGATGAGCTTCAGGTGTTGAACGCTGCAGAAGCTCAGCTAGAGCGCCCTGCCTATGACCACCCACTTACACACATAAAAGTAAATAATTTGAATATTATTTGACATTATAGTTATAAATTTATCTAAATATACTGATATATCATATATATAATGTTTATTGTGCACTACAGCAACAGCAGCAACAACGGCACCTGCTCCGACAACAACTGCAAGTAAAATACCTGCTTCGACATCGAAAGCTGTGTCAACACAGACACCTGCTACTTCAACAAACACA